CACGTTTTGCATCGTGCACGAGCGCATTTAAAAGTGCCTGGTTGGTCATTAGTCTGAAAAGAACTTCTGACCAAAATACTGCCTATGTTTTTGTCGCGTTTACTAGGCAACAGGATCTATGATTCAATCACACAAAACTCCTCAAACCTTTGGTGTGTTACAGCCTCTGCAAGGCCCTAAAGCACTGAACAATATCATCGACCATACCACTATTGGTCCTGAACTACCTGTTAGCATTAATCCTGAGGCAATTCCAGCTTCTGTTTTCATTTGAGTTCCAACACCGTTGTACTTATTCCAACTTTGCCAGGTATTTTTCTTTTTGATAGGACACCCACGAGAACAATGGACTTCATGTGGCTTTTGCTGAGTGGCAGCATTCATAAGAGCTTCTCTCATGCCATATGGAAATAACTGATTTGCAATACACTCTTAGGACTGTAACACGAATGTTAAGTTCCAGCGAAAGCGATATGTAACGCAATTTGTAACTTGTGCTGTAGCTACGCATGGGGAAACGCGATATTTTGCAGCGTTTTCAGTTGGTTCATGTAACACCGTGTAGGATGGGTGTGCTTTCGCTTCGACTTGATAAAAAGTTCCATTTTTCTTCGAGATTCACATTTATTACCAAAGCATGGTATTATTTACCTTCTATCAATTTGAATCTTAGCTTGTTATCTAAAATAGAGGTAAATTATACTCAAAGAAATAATAATAATTTAATATTTACATTGCGCAAATTAACATGTGGATGTTATAAAATGCGCATCACAACACTTTTCGGGGGACTTAGGCCGGACTGCATCTGCAGTATACAAACAATCGAAGGAAACTTATTTGAAAATACCCCCTCCCCCCAATTCTCAGTAAACAGGCCAGAACATATCACAGTAATCTCGTGAGTGGGTTCTTTAACGTCCCCTGCCTAACCAGATTAGTAAAGGTAATCGCATGGGGCCGAGTAAAATTAAGGATTAATATCACGCGTGTTTTCGGAAGTTGCGCCCGAGTCGCGCAGCGGCAAGGGCGCTTTCTGCAACTTCCGAAAACACAAGTGATATTAATCCTTAATTTTACGAGGAACCATGTGATTACTTTTTTATAATATAAGGGGCAAAATGTTTTCCTACTGATCTCGCGCAAAACGGGACGCCATTGTTACAAAACAAACAGAAATTTCTTTACCTTGGCAGTCGTTGCTAAGCGATTTTCAGCCAATCATTTTCATGTAATTTTGCCCGGGGCAAAATTAAGAAAAAAATGCCCTCTGTCTTGACCAATCACAATCCAGTAATTTTTGCCCCTTATATGATAAACTAATTAATAGATGCAGAAGGCGGGACCTACGGTTTATTCGTCCTTATCCGAGAAGACTAGAATACCCATCCATTTCTTGATATTATAGAAAGGTAGCGCATTCTCCTCAGTTATTTTAAGACCATGAGTGTTGGTCCGACCGGGGGCTCGAACCATCGACCTCAACCTCCCACACAACTGAACAGTCCAGCGCTCTAACCAATTGAGCTAACCGGGAGGCGGTTTTAAACTTGCAAAGTGTTTCCTTACCGAGTACTGAAAGTTGTTGGCTCTTGAGCAAGCAAATAAACATTTCCCAAAAATAATACGTTCAACATGTCGACGAGTTCAGTTCTTATTTGGAAACAGCGTCCTTACATTCCAGTCTGAAAGGCAAAATATATCCACGAATACACAGTTTAAATAGCGCCGACATTTCGTTGATCGAACGATCGAAAAGCTCGCTAACGACAACATCAACATGCTCACGCCACGCATGAGCAGACGTTTTTCATCACTCACCCTCCACGATTGTAAATCCGCATCACGCTTCGTATCATGGTCACGCAACAAACGGTGCTGACAATCAGGAGATTATCACGCGTCACACTAAAATAAGTACACTTTTGTCAATTTTTTTTCTACAAAAAAAAATATTTTTGACTGACACCTCTGTTCGTATCAAGTGCGAGTTTTAGAAACACTTCTAAAAAGTTAAGAAACTGTAAAATGTGTACGTGACTAAAATGTCAAAACGTGTAACCCCCCTGTTGCTTTCACGTGTATGACATGATGTTGATTCATGACGATGCTGGTCGTGCGAAGTGGCAGGTAGATGCAGTGGCAGAGGATATCTGCGTGTTCTACTCGTTGAAAAATGACACATCCGACTTTAAAGTACTAAAGCTCCGATAGTGGATCTCGTATACAACCGGCAATATCATAGCCCAGATAGTGGTTCTCGTTCACAAGTGAGGTACGCACTCCTATTTCAGAGTGAAGAACGGGAAATAAAATTATACACGAACGAAGAATTTCCTTTACTTTTGGTAAAGAGTGATCACTTCAACCGAGATCATCTCTGTCAGGCTTGGTCCATGTTTTACTCTGGGGTTTTTCTTAGAGGAAAATGGAGGCGAAGGCTGACCATGTACTCCTAACATTTGTAGCTGGAGGTTAGTTTTGCGTGGTATTACTTTTGTCGCTGTTGGATCTCTTGATCTTTTGTCACAATAGATTTCTTTGCATAGCTATAATGTAAGTTGGTCCACAACTTTAATGGGTGATCAGTCGATCCCGTGTTGAATAGTCGTACATCTGTTGGTAAACGTACTTTAACTTGCTCTGTCAAACGATTTTCAACAGAAGAGGCGTTCCCTCTTTGTCTCAGCAAATTCAGTATTTAATCAAAACAAACATTCGAAAGCCTGAGCTTTGTTTTCAATGAATGAATAAGTAGCCTGTTCAAGGGTCGCATGCATGCAGACGTCACCTGTTTTCTCTGTTGTATGCGGAAAAGTCCTAGAACAGGTTCTATAGGGCTGAACGAGGGAACTCGTCGAAGGACAAACAGCCCAAGAGCTCTTTCGAAAGCATAGCTTGGGTTTTTCTCTGTTCAACGCGTATAACCCAACAAATCTGTTAATGTTTTGAAAAACTTCATCGCAGTCCTACCAACACTTTCCGAAGTGAATGCTAACTATCTGCAAGCCACTGGAAATTAAAGGAAAGTAATTGTCTAACTTGTCGCCATGTTGATTTACGTGTGGTGGTTAAAGCACTGTCATACACTAAATTACACATGTACCATTTACTATAAACAGTTAATTAATATGTGATAAAGTGAATAATTTACGTGTTTTGATTGGTTTTTGCTTACGATCTATTGGTGGGTAGCCGTATATATAATGTTACTACAAACAGCTTCTTTGCTGCTTTTCATTTGCTCTGCCGGATATTAAAATAAGGTTAAAACAAAAGTGGCACACAAGGCGCCGCTGCGTGCAGTGTGGATTAAGCAAATAATTTCTTATTAGGGCCTCAAAAAATGGTTTCCAGATGATGTTTTGGGCTGATATTTAATCAGTACTCTGAAGATGCGTGAGCAAAGATGAAATGTCAAGGACACCCTCCAACCAATGTTCACACTGTGCTCATCCACTTGCATCCCACATTTTTCTAAAAGATGGTGCTACTTAGATGGAACAGAGCTATTTAAATTTAATGGAAGCCCCTCTCAATAACGCTTTTCAGCAACAATAATAAATAAAAAAATATAGATAATCATAGGTGTACTGCACTGAAGGGTTAACTTGTCAGTCAAACATAATTTCCCATGAAGTCTGGACAGTTTGCATGGTCTGCATGGTTTACAGTTTGTGGTGTGCAGTAGTGCATTTTAGTATGATCGCGTTTCCTTTGCACTTTTCCAAAAAACAACATAAGTAATATTTCTATTTCTCTGTGATAGAGGAGAAATCCATTATAATCTGTCTCCTTAAAAAAAAAATGAAGGTTTTTTGATCAAATATTTATGTTGGACTTTTGTGTGTGCCCAATTCAATTACTGTTTTGTGAGGAAAGACACTGAGAAAGAAATGTCACATACCAATGTGGTGGGAAAAGGCAAAAGGATTTTTAACCCTTGCAGGGGTTCTGTCCTGGTGTACCGGTTCACAAGGGAATTACCATTGTTCTTTCTTTGTTTAGGAGTCATTGGTTAGCTGTTGTGTATTGTTCGGTCTTTTGTAACGGCTCTTGTGAACCGGTACACGAGGACAGAACCCTTGCAGGAGATACGGGGATTTGGTCTGTATCTGGAAGAATAGCAGATAGACATGGGTAGTTGGCCTCTATGTAATATTATTATTTTTAGGGAGTCAAGTTGCATAAAACCAAAACCAAAATTATTGAATCAGTCAGAACCTAAGATAAATACATGTGAATATGTCTTGTTAACTTATTCTTGTGTTTACTATACAGGATTGTCAACATGCTGTGCAAAGACATCTACAGCTCCTTTGGAAAGACTGAAAATTCTCTTCCAGGCTCAGAATGAACACTACAAGAACATGGGTAGGCTAGTTTTCTGACAAATGTATGCATACATATGATTAGAAAAGTCTGCAGTTTCAGATCTTCATGTAGTCATGATGTTTGTTACAATTACTAAGTATAAGTAATTATATGAAATTGGGTGTGAGATGTAATTGGTGCAGTGATTGTGTGTCAAGTTCTCTAGTGTGTTTTATTTTTAATAAAACCAAAATATATTTATATATTATGTGTTTTATTTTTAATAAAATCAAAATGTATTTATATATTATGGCAGTAAACTGTACTGAAAGATAATTTGTGTTCACCTTAGTTTACTCTGCTTACAATACCATCTACAAAGATCTCCTGATGTTAAGTACAGAGAGATCTTACTGAGTGTTGACAAACTTCCTTGAGAGATAGCAGTCTGACATAAATTGCATTTTCAACTACAACTCTCTGAAAGGAAAATAATTTATAGCCCTGAACATATATATTTGTAAGATTGTATAATTAAGTCTTTTGTTTCAGGTGTATTTAGGGCTCTGAAAACCATTTACCATAAGGAAGGACCTTTGGGTTATTACAGAGGTATGCTATTATTTTATAAAGAAGTGATTAAACCTATAAGTCACAACATAGGAGTTCTCTGTCCTTGGGAACTTTTGAACTGGTTGTAAAGTTTAATTTGAGTAAGACTGGGCCTGTAAATCTCTTATGGATCTCTGGATATTTGTAAAAAAAATGGAAATGAAAATGTAGACCTCTCTAACTTTTACATTGCTTCTTTTCTCCCTCTTTGTTGTAAATTTAGGTTCATTTACAAACTAACCAATCAACTCCATGCCCTTACATATTGTTTAAAACTCAACTCAGCTACAGGCCATTTATTTTTATTAGTAGCAATTGAATAATTACTGTTTATAAAATTAAAACCAATACTGTTAATATTCACAATTTGGAATGTTTTTCCTCTCAGGGAATGGTGCTCTTATGTTGCGGGTTTTTCCATACGGTGCTGTTCAGTTTGTATCATATGAACAGTATAAGAAGGTCAGTACATAGTCGCTTAACCCTTTAACCTCCAAGATCTGAATGTTAATTCTCCCCTCTTGCTAATACATGTTTCCTTGTAAATTAGTTACAAGAAATTGATGTTAGATCAAGGTAAAAACTTCTTCTAGATTGATTGAGTATTCCTGTTGGCTGGATGATGTATGGATATTAAAGGGAGAATTAAGTTACATGTTAATCACTGTGTGATGCTTTGAGGATACTTTGTGTTAAATTTCAAATACTTACTATTCAATTTTCCAACACAGGCCTTAAACTCCTTGTATTTTAATGGTGCTTTGGGTAAGCTGCTCTCTGGATCTCTTGCAGGTATAAAGAATGGATAGTTGATCATTTGTATTTAACAGTTTTCAAATTGTTTATCAATTATGTTATAATTTTAGGTACAAACTCAGTTACTTACTCCTGGAGGTTCCCAGATTTTCAGTTCTGCTGAGTAATCATAGCTTAATTTTATAAGCATGCCAATGGGCTGTGCATAAGTTTGGCATAGGCTATTGAGGACACTGCAGCTGTAACCTTTCCAAACCTCCTGCTACCCCTCCACCCTTTTGAAGGTCACATTATATCATCTCATCTAAAGTTAGGAACATAAATTATTGAGGACTATCAGTGACACCAGACCAGTCACTTTGAAAATAATCAAACAATTCTGAACTTGATATAGTCAGACTATTTTTCTATTACATGCTATTCAGATTATCATTGAATGTTATTATCAGTTGTTTTTAAAACATTTCCCTATCCCTTCTCTCACCAGGTATTACAGCTTGTTCACTGACCTATCCCTTGGATGTTGTACGTTCACGCCTGGCATTTCAAGTGGCTGATGAAGAAATTTACTGTGGAATATGTCATGTAATTCGCCAGATTATCACCACAGAGGGAGGGTTTGCAGCTCTTTACAGAGGTTATGCAGCTACAGCTCTTTCAATGATTCCAGCTGTTGGTAAGTCAACATGGTGGTCTTACAAAACTACAAACTAACATGTTGCTCTGTTTTTGAACTATAATTACTGTTAGGAGAATATGCCTTTTCTCCTTCTGTGGATGCTATGGAAGTTTTACTATAAACCTGAAATTTGTTGCATAGCATCCAAAGCCAATTTGAAGTATTATGTTAAATTAATGGGTAGTTAAGTTTCAAAAGTAATGGACATGATAACAGTGTCTAGTTATCCAGAGCAGACTGCTCTTGCTCTTGATTCTTCATTCATCAGAATTGATTCAAAAGAAATAAATTGAAATAAATGGAATCAGATAAACACATAGTGTTTGGTCACATAGCCTTCCCAACCTTTACGACATTACTGGGGATTAGAGACGATATTACACGTGCAATGCGTCACGGCAAAGTAACTCTCATGATTCTTGCAGACTACTCGAAAGCTTTTGACACTGTGAACTTCAAGTCAGTTATTTATAAAATGCACTCAATAGGTTTTTCAAAGGATTTTCTAACCTGGATGACCTCCTATCTTACGGGCAGACAATAGTATGTAATGATAGATGACAAGTGTTCTCAGCAGTTGGAGACGTGCTTCGGCGTCCCTCAAGGATCAATCTTAGGACCGTTAATTTTCAATATCTATGTAGCAGACCTCCAGAAAACGTTGAGTTGCAAATGCTTTCAATATGCGGATGCAATACCACGTTGCTTCACCACTCAAAGCCGCATGAAATAGAGGTGTGCATAAAGGATGCTAATCAGACAATAAGAAGCCTGAGCAGTTACTCTGAATCGTCCAATTTGGCATTGAATTCAGAAAAAATGAAATGGATGCTTCTCTCTACAAGACAATTGGCGCACGCACACTCTTTAAATGATTTTTCTGCAGATGTATACTGCAGTGACACTAAACTTGAGAAAGTCTCAAGCACCAAGCTTTTGGGCGTTTATCTGGATCAGYATCTAACATGGCAAGAACACATAACGAATCTGTTGTCATCGTGTTACCGTGCTTTAGCAGTACTACGGAAACTAAAAAACTTCGCACCATACCACATAAGGAAACAACTGGTGGAAAGTCTTATATTCTCTAAACTGGATTATTGGGTTTAGTCCTCTCCCAGAGTACCAGACCAAACGCCTTCGAAGAGTACAGAACATGTGTGCGGGTTTTGTGTTAACTAAATTTTCTGGACTCCAGGATGTTAGAAAGCTAGGTTGGCTCACAATCAAAGAGCGTTTAGAATTTAATATAGCCAAGCTAGCGCACAAGTCATTATACAATGAGGACTTTCCACTAAAACTCAAGCAACACGTCGTAAATAGATATAGTCTTAGGTCATTAGCTGCACCAAAATTAGAACTTGCCTACAAAATTGATAACAGCACTCTACAAGATCAATTAAGCTGCAGAGGCTTTTAATAAGGTTCCTGCGGAGCTAAGGAATTGCAGTGACCATGCACTTTTTTGTATAAATCTTAAGAGACACATACTGACATGCAATAGATAATCCAGACTAAGTATAGTTTTTATTATTCACTACTTTATCAATTTTCATTTATTGTAAGTATTATGTATATAGTTAGTTTTTATATTAGTAGCGAAGAGCCACTATGTGGAAGTATGCTAATAAAGGTCATTATTATTATTATTATTATTATTATTATTATTAGTATACACTTGTGCCAATGCTCCGAAAACTGGTAAATTTGTTGCTTATTGAGATTCTGTAAGTCAGACCCTGACCTTAAGTGTGATCCCCTTGACAAATCATTTGTGATTGCATTTCTGACATTTGCTGCATTTTTTGTACTGTTTCCTTTCTAAAAAACTCAGCAGGTACAAATTCTGCCTTATTTTGATTTTAATTCAATGGATTATTGACTGTATACTATACCTATTTAAATTTTTTTTTATTAATTGTTTTACAGGATTTGGGTTTTTCACATATGAGAGTATCAAAGACTTCATACTTTCAATGAGCGGCCCTTTGACAAAGAAAAACCGAGAGGGTCAAGTAGTTCTAACACCAGTTGGAGGGCTGTTGTGGGGTGCAGTTGCTGGTGCCTCTTCACAGACAGTGGCGTAAGTTTTAACCTTCTTGTTCACAACAGTTACTATATATTAGTTACTTAGCATGTCACGCACAGAAACCACTTGGATTTAAAATTATTCCTGGGCTGAATAACTTTAGTGAAAAAAAGAAAAGTCACCAGTATTTGTGGTTACCTTATCTATCTTACTTTCTTCATAAATGAATTTCCATATGTTGTCTGCAGATATCCTCTAGATGTTGTTAGACGACGAATGCAGCTTGCTGGTGCAGTGTCTGATGGCTACAAATACAGGTAATGGAAAACCATATTGTGAGAAAATCTGCAATAACTAGAATCGAGTAATTACAACTTTTAATAGGAAATGGTTTTAAATGGTTATCAGTTTGAAATAATAGCTCTTACAAGGGTTAATTTCTCAAAACATGCTTCAATCCTCCAAGAGTAAACTATTTTCCAACTTGTTAGACTGATATTGGATAATAATATTTTAAGTCCAAACGTTTCATGTTCTGAAGTTGTTCAAAGTATTCTAACTATTTTTTTGTAGTGGTTGCATAAACACTTTTGTGACAGTCTATTTGGAAGATGGTGTGAGAAAAGGCTTGTATCGTGGCTTGTCAATCAACTACTTGCGGGTCATACCACAGGTGGCTGTCATGTTGAGTGTTTATGAGCTTACAAAGCAGTTTCTCAGTACCGACATGACCACTGTGAGGAGTGAGTGATCTACTGTCAATCAGCAAACATGGAGACTTCTGTGACATCTGTTCAACACCTCAACTAAATACAGAATACTCGTCACTGATAAACATGCAAAGTAAAAGCAGAAGTTGCATAATCCTTCAGCATGACAACTATTGAGAGAAAATAATGTATCTGTTGGTAAGAAGATTTGGATTCAGAAGCAGCAGTCATGCATGTACTGTATGAACTAGGCATTTACAGCTGCACCACATTGTACCTCAGAAAGTTAATTGTTATAATCTTATCATTACAATCAATTCACTCTCAAGACAGTACAAAGAACTGAAAGTAATAGTAACCAGAATGAAAAATAACTAATTTTACTCAATGTGTTATTGATCATACTGTGGGATACATGGATGCTGACATGCATAATTGTCAGGACATTGCCCCTGCAATTTCATACTTAGGTGTGTGTTCTTGGACATGAACAATCTTTTGAAGTACAGAGGGCTTGAACCAGCATAGGGTAACTTGTGATTGACTTCTTTCCCATTTGCTTGGAAAAGTAATACTCTAAGCCACTGTTACATGCTTCAGCCTGCAGCTCAAAAATAGCATTCACTCGATCAGATTAAAGTGCACCTAAACCCAAAAAATTTTTTTCACTTAACGAAATAAGTGTATTTTTTGGAGTATTTCTGTGCAAAACTTTTTTTATTTGCACAAATCTTCTATTTTCTGTGCCCAGTCATAAGGAAAATCGGCCGCCATCTTGCCCCACGACCGAGTTTAAAGAGGAATGGCTCTAGCGGGTAAGGTGACATCAAATCAGGAACACGAAAGTCTTCATTTCACACATTTTCACTTGTTTGGGAAGGTTGTCGTCGATATTGTCCGAAATATGCCGACTAGGTGTGTTGTATGAGGAATGTATGAAGCGCAATACCCTCTTGCAAATTTCGCACGTGGCTACATCCTTCTACAACACACTTAGTCGGCATATTTTCTGACAATATTGACTACAACCTTCCCATACAAGTTAAAATGTGTGAAATGAAGACTTTCGTGTTCTTGATTTGACGTCACATTACCTGCTAGAGCCATTTCTCTTTAAACTCGGTTGTGGGGCAAGATGGCGGCCGATTTTCCGTATTTTGACTGGGCACAGAAAATTAAAGATTTGAGCAAATTAAAAACTTTTTGCACAGAAATACTCCAAAAAATAAGCTTATTTCGTTAAGCGAAAAAAATTTTTGGGTTTAGGTGCACTTTAAAGTCATGATCACTGAGTGATGTAAAAGGATAATTAAAAAAATAAATACAACTAATACAGATAAGCTACTATTTTGAATTCATTAAATAACATTAAAGTAATATTTTAGGTAAATTTGGAAGTCTTGCATTCTCAATAGTCCTTAACCTAACAGGCCCAAGGCCATATTTTAAAATCAAAGAGAGAAGCAGGTCCTGGCACTTCCTAAAACCAGTCTAAATTGTTTCTTTTGCAGATAGTTTTATTGTATAGTTTTCAAAACTTTTGAAACCCTGTCTTGAATGAAAACAGAACAGCTTTATGGGCCTGTTAAGTTACCAGGACTTCTGAGAAACAGGCCTTTGGCCCACTAATGAAATATACCCAGTATATCTCCTTTTTTTTTCTCTCTGACTTTGTCCATGTCTTGGTGAATGACACAGTTGCAGGGATATAATTATGCCATGCAGTGGTCAGTGATTCTGGATGGAGAGGGCTGGGGCATGGGGAATTTGAACCACAACTGTTACCTCTTTGCAGAATAAACATGTTTAATCTTTTAATATGGAGGTATTTAGAGGTAAAAAGTTTACTTTTGTGAGCATATGGCCTAGAAGGAAAGGTCTATAAGAATGAATCAATAGCTAGTCTTGTGTTCAATAAAAGAAAAAAAGGATGATCACATCTGGAATTTGGAACTTTGGCACAGGGGGGAATTTGAATGGACTGAACTGGGGAAAGCTGGGGGAAAGTTGAAGCATCAAATTGATCAATGCACCAAGATCATTCAAACTCTGGCCTTTTCTGTGGCATACATGTCTAAAGTGAGGAATATCACTCATCTGGAATACCCTGCTAAGTTAGATCTCAAGGCAATAGTGTTATTACTGAATAAACATATACCAGGCAACACCAAATTAACAACCTGTTCAAGCTTACTGGTCCAAAAAGCCAACCTTAAAGGATGCCTTCCCTTTTTAAAACTTGAGGCCCCAAACACGATACTTTGTCAGGCAGGAAACCCAACGCAGCTTTTCATTTAAGAGAACAAAAAAACCTTCTGTAGTGGGAAATCCCGCCGAATCACATGTTCAAATCTTTATTTTTTCACTGTTACTCTTTTCTTTACCCCACTCGGGTTAAATTACAACATGCAAAGAACTGAAACATGAATTGATTTTCATATTTAATAACTAATTTTGAGACTCACAACAATAGTTAGGAACCTAGGTACTTTCATATAATTATCCTCTCTTAAATACATTACATTTAATAGATTCTTGATTTACTGGTAAATTGCTCTTAATATACATGTTAAAGGCAATGACTTTTTTTGGACTATGGGCACCCAGAAAAACAATGTCATCTGAAACGGAGACAAAATTAGGTCAGGCAGAAATTTTCTTTATATGGAATGCATTTCTGAACATAACTGATGTCAGGTGTTAAAAACAATAAGGTGACTCCTTCAGATTAAACAGAACGGTATGTAGTGATATGCAAAAGTTGCTGTGAAGCTGATAAAAGACCCCTGAATGATCAGGAGAAGAATGACTGTAAGCTAGCAGACATAAATGATTCAAATGACGGAATTCCTCTGTTAATGTCCACATGAGGGCAGAAACGAGAGGGCAGCAACAAAATGCTGCCTACCATTAACCCCTAAATGAGGAAATCAGAAGAGACAAAATGACAAATGCATTGTGAATGAAAATTGGTAAACAATAATATACAGTACAAATAGAGAACATTTCAAGTTGGATTGAAAGGTTATGAAAAAGTAGAATTAAATCTGACAGCCTACAGGCCCACATACCCATCCCCTCTTCCTTTGTCAAAATGGGCCAGTCCATTAATTTATGACTGTATAATAAAAATAATTATAATTCACAATAGTTGAGAAGGATCACCAAAAAGCTATCCTACTTATCTCAGTAAAAATGGATAAAAATGTATGTACAGAAGTCTGTAAACTGAGCATGTCTAAAGTTCATTTTACATCCCCTGTATTTTCTTTAAAGAAAGGAACTTCAGAATTAGGTAAAATTAATTGGAACAGCCTACATAAGCACTGTCAAATTAAAAAATATTTGAATTTAGAAACTGAAATGATAACTGTATTTGTTGTTTTTTTGTTTTGTTTTGTTCTGAAGCTGCTAAAGCAAGGAACTTTTAAAGATAGGCAATGCAATATCAGATCAATAATTAATTATACATTTTCTCCCAGTGCATGTTTATGAAAATGGTCTTTGGGAGTAAAAAGAAACCTGTTTTAAGGAAATTCCAACAGAAGGGGATCCTGACCTAATTCAACTTAGTCCTATCCTGGCCCATTCTTTGTACGTGAGATGTATCTCCATAGTACAAGTCTTTGGAAAACTCTCCCTTAACTATAGTTTTCTAGATACTAAATATGAAACCTTATTGTAAACAAATACCTTACCTGAGGCTTTCCAGGAAAATAAATTTAGCCAGTTAAAATCAGGTACATACTCTGTCCGCAAAGATAACATTTACTGGAGACCATTTATAAGGAATGTAATTCAAAATTTAGAAAAAAATTATATTTTTTTTAAGAGGAAACCCAAACATAAAGTGCATAGTGAGGGTGAAGGCCCTCATAATTAGAAGCATCATTATGAAAAGCAGATCGCTTAATGATTATTTTTAAATATACATTAAGACCATAAAAATTATGTAGCCTGTTCATAAAATGAGAAAGGTCCCTACAAAGGAAACTTTGTCATTTTATGAACAGGCTACATAAAACATTTCAGCAATAAAAAACAAAACAAAAAGAGAGTTCATTAAAACTAAAACTTTCAGCGTCATCTTGACACCATTATGAAGAAAATAATTATTATATTCTAGGATAATAAGTTCATCTGATAGAGTTACATAAATCAACATTAGGCATGTTATCTTTGTTAATGTTTCTTCATTCACTTAACTCTATTGCATGTTTTTAAATTGGTGATTTTAAACTAGATTTAATGCAACAATGCGAAACAAGCATCCCTTAGGCAGGGAGTGAATGCTTTAACTTTGTCCTATTGAAATTAAAATATCTATGCAAAGATTCTCAAATTCTGTTTGTTGATGTTTTCTCAATACTGTCAAGACCTGCTTTTGTCCCACTTGTAAGGAAGAGAAAAATTAAAATTGACAAATCATAAATAAGCTATATTTAACTAATATCTTTGATTGTACATTAAATAAGATATATTTCTTACTTCTGACAATTCACCTGAAAATTCATCAGATGCAATATAAACAAAAGATCAAATCTGCATAAAAATTCAATAATTTTTTTTTGATTTAATTAAACCACGCCAGTCACCACCAATTCAAAGTTCATCTAGAATAATACCTAACTTAGTAAATGGGTGGAGACAATCAGCCTATATGCCATAATATGCAAGTTACTGATGCCCAGTACCAAATGCAACATGTAGCCAGTTATTAAGATGACTACCAAAGATTTACAACAGCACAGGCACTGCACAATGCGGATTACTAGGTGAGCTATTAATCTGACATGTTTTCATTCTTACTCTTCATCACTGTGTTAAATAATTTACCAAAGCCTCTGTAACACTTCACATTTCAAATAAAATAAAATTTAGTTAATAAAAAAACCAAGTAGCATTGCTCAACCAAATGATCATCTCCATACATAGTGCTCGAAATTAGCGGTTGCCCGAGACAACACTAAAACTTCGTTCGGGCGACCAGATTTCAGGAAAAATAAAGGCAGGAAAAAATCGAAGTACTTGCATTACTGTGATGCCTAACAGAATAAAGAACAAAAGCTATAAACTTGAGACATGAAAATAGCCTAAAATGTGAGGTTTATCTTCTGATACTGATAGATGGATCCACACAGGAAGGTTGTGATAATTCATTAACGCCGTTCGCTCGATTCAATAAGCAAGGATAGGCTGATACCAGCAACGCATACAGTATCGATTCTTTCGATACTGCACTACCAGCCCTTAATCTCCCGAGACTAACCGTTGACAAGTAGCCGAAAGGGATGGTGAATGGGCGCATTTGGGTCGTCTATTTGTGTGCCACATAGGATTGCAGCAGTGTACCGGTCAAAGTGGCGGTTTCTTCCATTCTCTAGTACAACATTTCACTGTGAAATAGGACCCGATTTTAGAAACTGCACATGTAAAGTCACTCAGCACAACAGCAACAAAATCGCAACCCACAACAAGCCACCATTCGAAGGAGGGCACTTATTAGAGCAAGGGCGCTTATTCGAGAGAATAATTATGGTTATACCGCTACAGAACTAAAGTTATTACTGTTACCATTAAAAGGTGAAACACCAATGAAAAGAAAGAAAGTGAGAAAGAAACATTAAAAAAAATTTTAAAAAAAGACGAGATCGGGCAACCAAGTTCTCACCAGGGTAACCAAAGCTAGGGGCTTGGTTGTCCAGCATTTGCCCTAAGGGCAACCTGGATTTTTTCCTAATTTCGAGCACTGTACACAGCGAAGGGGTCTTAACTATTTGTTCCTCCAATACTATACTAAGTTTTACATCACAAGTTACTATTCTCTTGTTACACGTCTAAAGAACTGTAAGCTGTCTTGAATTTCTGGCACAAATTCTGAAAATAGCAACTCCAACAAGGTGTACACCAAGAACCTGTAGGGAGAAAAACCTTTTAACTTAAAACCTTAAATTACCATTCATATCAACTATCCCTAGGTCCCCTCCAAGAATTATCACTTTCCTTTAGAACAACATCATGAATAAAAGTAACCAATGAAAGAGGAAATACATTGCAGTAGTGCTACTGAACATCCCAAAGAATGTATTAGTAAGTCTCCTTACGGTCTCACGTGTTCCTTCTGAGATTTGATTGAATGACTCAACTGTAGATGATACATACAACCATGTAAGCAATCACATTATTGCAAAAATGTAAGCTAGCAGATACATGAACCATAACTCACTTGTTGATTTGGGGATATTGCACAGAGTCAATAATGTTCACAGCAGTCTGATGGTAAACTTGGGGACCAATCAACAACATGATAAAACCTGGAACATCGAATGAAAATAGGCTTAATGACTTGTATTTCCTTACAAAAAGAAGTCCTAATCAAGCGCATAGAGTTATTTTAATGCGCTACATAAGAACTTATTATTAAATTAAAACAACCTGGAAATTTACAGTTGTGGTTTAAGGTCATACACTTTAAATCTTATTTGTTCTGTACTGTTCTGTTTTATTTCTTGGTTTCAAGCATTTACATTCATTTCAATATTGATTTCACCTTTACATAGACCACCATGCATGCCACATTCATATTTCTGATTGAAATGCTGTGCTGCACCTGTTCCAGCCCAGTTGTTGTGTTGAGGATCACAGAAGACCAACTTTTGAGTCATTCAAGTTTAGAAATGTAGGTTTCTATGGGAAATGCCACTGGATACTGCACAGGCAGTTGCATTTTCAGGTTATGTTTCTTTGCCAAACTTTACAAAGTATATTACTAATAGGAAAACACAATGTAATTTCAGCAAATATGCTCTGTGTTTTGTCAGTAAGATTGGGGAACAATAGCAATTTTATACCAGTAATTCTTTATACCAACACTTGGCAAACTGGAGGAACTCAGAGCTCAAACTCACAGTATAACATACCCCATATAAATTTTTTTGGAGTCACTACGGTTTCAAAATATCTATACATTATAATCTTTGACCTCTAATTCTCTTAGAAAATTGTTCCCATGTACTTTTTTATAATACTAGTAAACTTGAAATATTCCCCATTAAACTTATATTATTGAATCTGTTACTTATAATCATGCAATTTCATGAACCTGGGAATGCATTCATCAAGGCATGCACAGCTTCTTTTCTTGTTTTGGACTTTTCCAGCTCACTTTTTGGTGTTTCAAGCCCATCAAGAAGCTTTCCACCAGGCCATATCGCTTCATTGAGCTTATTAAGATACAGTGCCCAGCTGTCATCAGTGGTGATGTCATCTATTCCACTTTGAATTTTCCTTCAATTCAACACAAGAAAACACTGAATATTATGATTGTTCCACATAGGCTAAGGGGTTCATGTCAGCTTGTTTGCAAGATTTACCATTTATAATATTTTTGGTGAAAGAAGTCTTTTGATAATTGTCCACCTAATTATAAATAAAAAATTCATGTAACTACAAAGTGTTTTGGACTTAGCCATTTCATACCATTCAAACAGCCCACCCAAACTGGCCATGAAGGCTTGCTGAACTCTATCAATTGTCAACCAAGATCTGTGTTCTTTAAGAAGCTCACACAACAGAGTAAGAATGGTGTCTGAAAGAGGACACTGAAGGTCTGACCCAGCCACTGAGCTCCTCTCCACATGAGACCCACTGTCATGATCATTTGGCTGGTCTGTTTTCGAGACTAGGCAAGGATCCTCTGGATGAAGTAGTGACTCCTTGGAAGAAAGAGTGTTTTCTGCACTTATACCAACAGGTGTAATTTTTTGCTTCTTAAGATTTGCACTAAGAATGGGTATTGAATTGTCTTTCAGACATTTCTTGAAGGCACCTGGTTTCTTCTCTTTAGAAGTGGACAGTGTATCAAGGTTCTCAAGAGATTCACTCCTGTTTCCCTGCCCAAAAGCTTCCAAAATCTTTTGTGGCTTGAACTGGAACTTGCTGGTAGATGGTGCAGAGGCAATCTCCTCCATGGACTTGCTCCTTGGAGCAGGTTGATTTACAGCCAATCCAAGAGACCTAGGTGCTTCTGAGTTGTTTGGTAAATGTTTACTATCCAGATGCTTCTTGAAGATGGCTTCTGAGCATTCTCGTTGGAAGGATACTCCCCGGTCCTCTAGAGCAGGTTGTAAATCACAATGTACAGGAATAGGGCCATCAGGATTGTCACTTCCATCACCAGCTGTGCGAGGTCCTAATGACTGACATGTATTCCACAAGGAAGCTTCTTCCTCGGTGTCAAAATCTGCCACTTTCTTGGCCAACTTTTCCTTCCAAAAGTGAAGTCCACCTTGTTCATCACCATTTTTGTACTGAATTGGTGATGGTGGAGTGGGTGGAGTGAACTCCTCACAATCAGCAAGAAATGCCAAGAAGTAAGACTCTGTTGTAGTACTCTCTTGACCATAACCAATTTCCTGAAAACAATGGCTTAACATTATTTTTTTTTTGCAACAAAAGTTACATGCAACACCAGATTTCATTAATTTTTAAAGCAAAAACAACTATGCATAACACCAGGCTTCTTTTGGAATTCCTTGTAATGCCCTACCCAGCTTGTGTTGCAGTTTTAGTATCACACATGCCAGGAGCATAGTATAACCATCAATAAAGCCCATTTGCAGAATTTCTTGAGATATTTTTCCAAACCTCAGAATCAAAGATAGCAGTTGAATATTTCATGAACACAAATTCTGCATTTACTGTTTCCTCTCGGCAACATCATTTCTCATTTACTGTTAACATAACAGCTTCCATGATATTCCATGTATTTAGAATTCAATAATTATCTTATCGTATTTATGATCTTCAAAGTCAAAATTGACTAAACACAAAACTCTGGAAATCTATAAAAGTTTTCAAAGCCTCTTCTTTTTCTTCGTCTGTTCTTACTGGTTTTCCAGAAGCACCATCCTGATAACAGGTTAGTTTCCATGGAATAACTACATCGTCACTGCTAGCAGTGGCACATTCCTCAGATACTTTCTCTTCTTCTTCAACTGAAAGACAAACAGAATTAACATTAATGTCACTTTACACTAGGCATGAGAGGAAAAAGACAGCTACCTGAATCGAATGCAGTCTTGATACTGTCAAAAACTTTGGTCATTTGCCGACTCAGCATCTGGTACAATCAAATGAAACAAAAAAAATTGTTATAAGTAAAGGAAAAGAGATGTTATTAAGCAGTTGGATGGTAAAAAGGAATAAAGATGTAAAATCATAGGATGAAACAGAGTTATATCTCCTCTGAACTAATCTCAAAGGCTTTTTGCCCTACAAGGTACATGTAGGGTCTTAGCGTGCGGAATGTTTTTTGTTTTGTTTTTCTCATTCAATCAATCGTTAGGGCGTCCTTTTGTGTTGTCGCTTTTTCTCGTAGTTCGTTAGTATTTTTTCGCTGGTTAGTTAGCTTCTCCTGTTTCTATGTCACGTATCTTCGTTAATTAGTATCTTCCGTAATATAGGCGCTAATTGCACTTTAAGTTAGCTAGTCGTTTTCGCATATTTAAATTAGTTTTTCTCAAGCTCAGAGTTTAGTCTTTCGTTAGTCATACAATAGTTTGCTTTGAGCAGTTACTCCAGTTTATCTTATTTTTGCCTTTTGGCAGTTTATATTCGTCCAGCAGTTTCATAGAAATCGTAACAATGTAAGTATTGTCATTTCAAGTTTGTTCAGTTCATTCAGTGTATTTCTTTCTTGTCACTTTTATTAGTCAATCGTTGTAATTTCATACTCATTTATTGTTTTAGGTTTCAACCCACATAATGTCAACATCATTCGTACCGAATAAATACGTCTTTATCATCGTGGTATTGTGAGGTTACGATTACTGCAGTTACAGTACATTTAAGAACCCTGTCCAACATTTCTTAACGAACAGTCAGCCTTAAAATACTTCTTATCTCATCATTCTTTTACATATTATCACGATCATATATGTCAATCATTGATCTCAGAGTCATCAAGAAACATACCTTGTCAACGCGTGGAACATGAACGGACTGGCTCACAATCTGTGCTACACTTGGTTTAATGAAAGAAATCTGCTCCCCTCCCATCACACCAAGAAACTGCTTTAAGTCTTCACTACTGCGTAATGCTGGTTTGAAAATTAGGCTCTACAAGCAAATGTGGTAAAAAGATTTTTACACCACACAGTGAAGTCCAGCTCACACTCTATCAATTAAAGCCTAGCTGTATGGCTTCCCTTAGAAAAACATTTGACAGAAACCATAAGCCTTGTCAAGAATGCCAAGAATTTGGAAACTAATGGCGCTGCGCGTTTGTGACATCACGAAATTTTGACCCCCTAGAGCGATTAGGACAAACAAACAGGCTTCTCAAGTAAATGAATATGGGCGATGATGCGCCCATCTCTAGTTTGAACGCCTCTAAAGCTCATATTTTAAATCAAAACAACGGTGTTCCTGGCTCAAAGTTTGAGCAAGACCAAGAAAACTATACAAATACACAATTGAAGCATTGGTTAAAGTGTAGAGGCTTGAAATTGAGAGGAAAATGAGCAGACCTCATCGCTCGTGTTCGTGACTGCCTCAAGTTGAGAAAACATTATGTATATAGTTGATTCAAGTATAGATGATAGGAAATGTGTATACTGAAATGTCTCAGTTTATTTAAAATGAGTATGCACATCAAGGATTGTGTCCTTTTTGAATCGTTCGCCTTTATAATTATAGATGTAGGTGTCCAGGAATGTTGTTTTCTTACTGGAAATTTCAGCCGTAAATTTCATTGTTGGATGAGGATTGTTTGCTTTTTGAATGAAACGTTCTATTGTTGCTTTGTTTGTACTCCATAGCGAGAAGATCATCATCTATGTAAAGTTTCCAAACAAGCAGTTTCAGAAAAGGCTGTTGTCAAGGATTTTGGTGTACAGCACAAATATAAGTATTGTAGTTAACAAGTATCAACTAAGAAATTCTTTCTAGAACACGCATTTACGCGGTGTTGACAAAGTTCCAAGTCATGCATGCTTCGGCTTTGGGAACGGTATGAAGGCTTTCCGACCGTTTTTAAGCATTTCTTTAGGTGGATTAAGCGAATCTGGCAATCTTTCTAGATGTCTTGAGTCATTTTTACATGTACCCAACAGCAATGCCTAGTTGCAACCATTTTAGAAAGTTAGAGCATTTTTGGAGTGAAAATAGTCTTGCTTCTGGCACGTTTCGCATACAAGTCCTTGTAAAGACTCCGAGTGTTTGTCCTAAACCAGCGGGGGATCCAAAGATGACATATCTATTTTTAGACCTGGTGCGCAGCGCTATTAATCATAACAGATTTAAGCTACATTCAGGGTTGTGCTTTAGAAAAGCCAGACACTTCAAAGTGAATGATGGCAATAAACTCACCCATAAATAATGTTGCAGCAGCTCTCTTCTTCCCTCTACCACATGAGGGTCAAGTCTTCCAAATGGCAGATTGTATTTTCTGTTGGGTTTCAGAATATCTGCATAGTAAACAAAAGGGTGATATCTTAAGATTGATTCTTTAGAACATCTTTTACCTCTGAACAGAATAGACTATCATTTGACATTGCTTAGATATTATTGGGTATGGTTTTACAAAGTTCTGAAGAAATGTCTTGAAAAGTTTCTTTCTGTGTTGATTACAACACTGGTTTTTAATAGCCAAAGCTGTCAGTAGCTCTTGAGGTCCACAGTCAACCAGTTCTGAGCCAGCAATTCATTAATTGCTACTTGTTCATCAAGCACTAGGAGTGAAATCAGAAAGTTTGCTAACAATTCGTGTGTACAAGAATTCAGCTGGCATCATTTTCTCTCTTATTTTTCTTATTTTCATCAAAGCCAAAAAAGACTTCAAGAATTGAAATCAAATGTTGACTGTGAAGATGAAGAAATTGACAGGGGACCACAGAATAACCCATAATCAAATGCACCCTGAACACTGGACCACAGCATAACCCATAATCAATGGACCCTAGACACTGGACCACAGCATGACCCATAATCAGTGGACCCTAGACACTGGACCACAGCATAACCAATAATCAATGCACCCTGAACACTGGACCACAGCCTAACCCATAATCAATGGATCCCAGACACTGGACCACAGCATAACCCATTATTAGTGGACCCTAGACAATGGACCATAGCATAACCCATAATCAATGGACCCTAGACACTGGACCACAGCATAACCCATAATCAATGGACCCTAGACACTGGACCACAGCATAACCCATAATCAGTGGAACCTAGACACTGGACCACAGCATAACCCATACTCAATGCACCCTGAACACTGGACTACAGCATAACCCATAATCAATGGACCCTAGACACTGGACCACAGCATATTAACCCATAATTAGTGGACCCTAGACACTGAACCACAGCATAACCCATAATCAATGGACCCTGTAGCCCTTACAGTGACTAGCACCTAATTTCCCCTTATCACCCCTAAATCAACCTTATCACCCCTAAATCAACCTAAGCTCATGAGATTGCAAATGGTCACCAACTAAAGAAGCTCTTAATTGTTTAACAAATTCTCCTCTCAGCACCTTAGGAAATGTATACAGAACAGTATGGAGAATAATTATGTATACTGATGTTAACAGGCTAAACCATATAATTTTACTTTTAATTTGAAAATAACTTTCCATGACAAAGCCCCAGCTTTAAAAAGTCTTACTCACCTTTCATGTAAACTGACAGATTTCCACCAGTTAAACGATTATGAAGCTCCATAAATTCTCTATAACGTCGGTTTATCACTCGCTTCAAGGGAACACTTCTCTTGATCACATCCATTGAAATTTCTACATCTTCTAGCAGATTATCGTTACCAGCATAAAGATTTCTCTTTGTCATTTCTTTCTTTGCTGCATTCTTCGCTTCCTTAATCGCTGCTTTGTACACATCATTCCAAATCCTAATATCGTACTGTCAAAAGTAACCGAGAACAAAACACAAAATGAACTGGTGGCAACATCGTTTGGGAAAAAAAGTACTGCAAATGCAACAAGGGCGTACGACTAAAATACCAAAATACTCTGTGAAAACCTGTTTGACACCAGCTTTAAAGTTCCCTTGATGTAGAAGGCACAGGACACATCACAATTAAACGCTGCCTCATTAGCCTATTCTTCTCCCTGTTTTCCTTATTCTTTTGTCTTTCTGTTTTATGTCAACTATGTCTTCTACACCAAATATGAACCTCATTAAAGTGTTCAAAAACTAATGTCAATGGTAAAAACAGTTAAGACCTATCAGTATAAGTATCATTCTATTAGTTAGAATGGAGTGATGAAGTGTGATTTAGATTCTTATATTCAAAAGTCTAGAAAACTATACAAATAAGAGTGCTAACCTTCTCTTGAAATAAACAACAGCCTGACATCAGGTCTGTGTTTTTGATTGGCAAACAATGAAAGAAACATAGCAGTTGTTAAACATGTACATTATGGTCTCTTCTTGAGACCTCATCATGGCAAGTTGCACACATGATGTACATTGGCACGCATGTTACATGAGAACTGCACTCCTTTCTAGCCAATAAGCACTGAGAAATTTTTCATGTACATCACCACAACTGTAAACCCACTTACTTAACAAGTTCTGCACTGTATAATGAAAATGTTGTTTTTCTGATAAGAGGTTGTACATTGCTAAAATCTGCGTCATCAATTATAAGTTATTAGTTGTAATATAAGATTTGGTGTGCACTCCAAACTTCACACTTGGGTTCAATGTCAACACAGAGGTTATCCTTGATTAGTGAACAAAATTCAGATTGTACCATACAATACATACCTCTATTTTGTACAGTGTATACTTGTTTCTGCCTGGTTCCCAACTTGTCTCAAGTGCTACAATTGTGCTGGGAATGGTAATCAATTGACTAGGGTGCATTCTCTTCACCATTCCCATGTCACTTCCATCTACTGTTTCTCCCCTCTTGTTCATATCCCCAATCTCTTGCACATGTTCCTCTCTTGGTGTTCCATAACATGCCTCTCCATCACTATCAATGGATTCTTGAATCACAGCATCACTTCTTGATAACCGTCTCCCACTAATTGAACTGTATGTTGCTGTGTGTAAAGAATCTTCCTTGGCTGCCACTTTGCTTTGAATCCCTGAGGTGTAATCCAGGGATTCACTTCCTGAAAGGGAGCTTGTTTCTGTTGACTTTGCACTACTGCTGCTCAGGCTATCAAACTTCATGATGTTGACAAGTTTCTTTCCTGCAGTTAAAAAAGCATCGCCAAAGGATGATTCTGTATTGTGTCCTCCAAATCCAAAGCGTAATGGCTTTTTTTGAGGGATAGCACCATGGCCAGGGTGATATTTTACCTCACCTTCCCAAGAGGATTCCTTGATGTCTGCTAAGTCTGATATGTCCTTTTGATTTTGCACTGCTTTTTTGGTGCTTCTTAATCTGTCATTGTTGATGGGCAATATGTCTTTAGAGCTAGCGAAAGCTCCTGGAGATGAATTGGATATCTGTTTCTCCTGGGACTCCTCAAAGGAAGCTTGTTTAGTAATTCTCTGTCTTGCACCACTCCAGTGAGAACCTGCACTGTAACTAACTTCTTCAAAACACTCAAGTGCTTCTTCCCCTCTCTCAACATATCCATCTAAAAGTTCTTCTTCACTTGACATTGACTTAAAGCTGTCTGAGCTGCTACAGAAGCTCCTACCATATAACTGTGGGTTGCAAAACCTTTTTGGGTTATTTGGAGTGAAATATTTTCTAGGGTCATTGAAATCTGCTATTGCCAACTTGCTGGGTACACTGACAGATCTAATGAGTTTGCCATTAGGTCTATCTTCCAACAGTTCATCACATCCTGGAAGAGACAAGCTTCGTGTTCTAACCTTTGGAAACAGCTCTTCTTCAGAAACATCACGTTCCTCATCACCATTATTCTGTTGTTTTGACATATGGTAGTTCACTGTCTGATTACCACTTTCTTCAAATTTGTGACAGCAAGTTAGTTCTTTCAAACTGTTTCCAATTCCTCCAAATTTTTCAACTTTTGAGAGATTCGCTTTTATTTCTTCAAAACTATGTGTGTTAAAAGATCTGTCCTGGGAAGATGGACAAATTCCCCAAGGGGATGACAGGCCACAGGAAGTCAGGTTTTCTATGGAAGAAGGTGGAACAACCTCTGTTGACCAGTTTCCTTCACATGGACTTTGCCTGTCCTTTTTACTGAATTCCTCTTTATTCTCTTCAACTGAAATAATCAAAAAGGACTCTGAGTTGTCATGCTGACTCTCTCCTACTGGAGGCTGCCTTTGAGAGCTTACTGACCATTTAAAATCAAGGTTTTCTTCACTTCTTGGAGACATAATTTCAAACCTCTCTCCTGGGTCATCAATAGATTCCTTACTTTCTTTTCTGGGGATATTTTTCATTCCTTCCTTCTTTGGCTTCTCCTTAGCATGATCTGGTCTCGTGTTTTCTGTCACTGGGGCTGTTGGCATCTTTTCAGCAATCTGTGGTTTCACAGCATTCCTGGGTTCATCACAATTTTCCATAACAGGTTGATCCCCTCTAATAACCGGCTTACCAACTTCGTTTCTCCCCGTATCATCATCATCTGACAAAATATCAATCACTGCCTGACTTATCCTGTCTGGGTCTGTCAAAAGTCCCACTAGAGGTACCACCACTTGCACAGTTAAAATTTCTCGTAAAATGAATCTCCCTGTGTCACAACCATAGGTTTCTTTTGGACTCATTGCTGCTAATAGTGAATCAATAACATTCCTCAAGTAACTGAGTTCTTCAGATGGATTCAAAAGAGATGGTACTTTGGAAGTTAACTGTGATTCGTACGTTTGACAAAGAAGTTGCGAGGAACTAATGTTGAGCCTTAGTTTTGGGTCTTTTGCCTTCACGATCGCCATTGCTTTATTAAACCTTTCTAGATGTCCATGAAAAACAATCAAGGCTTGTTCAATCATGTAGTGAGAATCAATCTGCGACGCACGTCTGTATCCTTCCAAACACAACATCTCCAGAGAATCCCTGGTTTCGGAGATGAAGTCTTCTCCTTCTCCAACATCTTTGTACCATGAACGTATGAAGTCACGAATAATATTTTCTATTAACTTTTTGAAACATTCCTCTAAACGCCTAGGAATCTCATCCTGATGGTGATAATAACCATATGTGAAGGGAGGCGAGTAAGGAATTCTGTTTTCAAGACGATGGGGCGCTCCGAAACCGAACAGCTCGAGAATCTTAAATAGTTCTTCGAATAAACCATCCAGTCCCCATTTATTTGTGACAAATAAATATGTCAAGCCAAAACTCACGCTAGTGACAATAAAATAGAGGCAAAGAGACTTGAAAGACAGTCCTGCGAAGAAAACACCGATCAAAACGACAAAAACCACAAACCAGCCCATGTTCGGAACCTACGCCATCTTGATTCGCTGCCATCCCCCTTAGCTACCATGCCTTCTTTACATTAGTAGCCAGGCCGCTCGTTTCTGTTGACAGGAAGAGCAGAATTAAAACGATGGCGGAGAATTGTTATTCAGTCAAGACAGCGCTTCGTGTAGGAATAGTGCAGATATTAGGCGGCCTAATAGGTGTCGGTATTGGCGCATTTAATACTAGAGAAGAGGATCATCGAGCATTTTTTAGGTTTAAACCCGAAGGACTCCCAGTGTGGTCTGGAATATTGGTGGGTATGAAAATTAATTGTACCGTGCGCGTACAGTGTTGTTCTGTGTAGGTTTGGAATTTTGAAAATAATTTCACAATGATAAACAAACTACATTTCAATTGGTTCTATCAGACTTGCGGTATCGGTATGGTAAACCTTTTCTGATCACCTTAAAATAATCTCGAATATTGTTTATTTTTGGCGACATGTATGAAGAGAAAAGTCTTTTTACAATTACCTTATCTTGCTACGCCACATCCTCTCTTTCAGTTGTTAATTTGAATAACAAAATGTGGATAGCTGTTACCCATATTTTTTTTACTTTCTAAGAAGTCTAAGGAATTATGCTACACTGTTTACATGGCATTCATGATCAGAAGAACCAACGTGATTTTGAGTTGTGTTTAATAGCAAGTGGAGGCGATTATTTGGATTTAAATAAAAATTGCACTTATTTCAAAGTCACTTAATATTTTTATCAAAAAACGATCGATTATATAAATTGGGTCAATTTTTGTCCAGTTTCAATGCATTGATACAATTCAGAATTTGTACTAATAACTATTTTTTCAACAACTGCTATAGTCGTTCCAAACTTTTAATATGTTTGCCTGTTATGGTGATGAAAACTCTTGAATTTATAAAACCTTGAATGACGAGTTAATGTTTTTGATCAAGGTATGTCTAGATCAAGGTCACCTAATGGTCAAATTTCCTCTTCTAAAATGTTATACAAGTCTGGTTGAAGTGGCTAAGAATATATATGTAGCCATTTACAGGTGGCTCAAAATGAACATTTTCATTTGGGCTTCCTGTGGAAAATTTGGTTGCAGTCATCATCTGTCTTCCAAAAAGGCACCTCTGGTGATCTAGGCAGGTGCTCCAACAGTTGCTCCAACAATTCATACAAAAGTCCTCTTATAGGATTTTTGGTTACTGGTAGCATTTTTTTTAGAGGTAAAATCCATACATGAGTCGATCAGTATGTTCTTGGAAACTTGAAATGTGGTTTTGGATAGGATGAAGTAACTTATCTTTATCAAAACTAGTGTCTGGCAGTCACATGTTAATATTTGTATTGTCGCATGGGATATTTCTTGTTCGTAATTCAATGTGCTTATAGGAGTAATTTTTTTTTTACAGTTTATTGTTACAGGAGGTGTGGGATGTCTTAGTTACAAACATGCCAAAAAATCAACTGTAAGTTAACTTTTTGACAGTTGCTGAGTATTAACCAATACCTTCATAAGATAAAGTACAGCTTTAGAACCCAGAATCGTTAAGGGGCAGAATGAATAATAGCACACTATGATGAATAATAGCACACTTGACCCTTAAACTCCCAGAAGTAACTTCTCCCCATAAAATCCATACATTATCCAGCAAACAGGTTATCAGATAACTCAAACTAATCAAGTACAAGTTGTTATCTTTTGATCTACCTCAAAATTATTGTAACTAATTTACAAGGAAATGTCTAGCAGCTTGAGGGGAGAATTTAGATACAGATCTTGGGAGTGAAAGAGTTAAGTGGAGGCATAGTTTATGAAAACATCAAGGCAGTGACTTAAATCTCCAGTCTTCGTCACCACCATAGAAATATTTTCTCCTCCCTGAGAGAAAATAAAAACATTGGACAGTAAGCTCAGGGAACAACTTTCCCCCACGAGTTATATTCTATGGTTGGAAACTCTGTCATATTACAAACTTGTCTTACAGGAGAAAAAAATTTTATCTTCATATTGTTGGCTAAATCTACACTGGAGACTAGAGAAATTTTAAGCAAAATGAGATAATCATAATCCATTGATTATTTCCACCTACAGGTGTACAATCGGTATAAATGCCCCACATGGCTGGATATGACATTTATAAATTCCTCTTTAACCTTTACATATTAACATCAATATGCATATTCTCCCAAGTATTCTCTTTGCATTTCATAGTTACTTAGCAGGAGAATTTTCTTAATAATTCAGAGCTTCCTTGCAATCATTTCCTTTTTTGACATGACCTTACTGTGCAATTCAGGGGTGATATATTGTGGGGGGAAATTAGATGCCAATCTCACATAGGGGTCCAGGGGTTAAATGTTAAATGTCAGCATCCCTTTTGAGCAGTAAGGTGTTCACTAACATTTCTGTCCTCTAGCTTTGCTCTAAGAAACACACAGGGCCAAATGGAGGCTTTGTCTATAATTTTATTTTGAGTATATAATCAGTGTATTTCCTTGTAGGTCGTTTGATAATTTTCAGTATATTATGTCCTTGCAGATTCATTTCTTTCTGATGTTTTGTATTTTGACGGTTATAACAAGTATCTTGATGTTCTGGATCATTTTGCCACTGATTGTGTCGGGGAAGCAAGAAGTATCATGGAACTTATTTTTTGGTTCATTCCTTGGTGTTGTGGCAATTATATTTGTTGTGAGCATGAAAGGAGCCTTTGTAGCATTTAAATCATCATTTTTTCAACACAACTGCTGTATCAAACCTCCCCCCTTACAGGTAGGGTATTTGCATTTCTATGATTGGAACTTCTACCTTCAGTTTACCTTTTTAGAGCCTTAGGCCTGACATTTTCATAGCCCAGGGCTGGAAATGTTGAAATAGAAAAAACTTAAAATGGTGAAGTACCTTTTTTCAGTAAAATTTGGCACCACAGAATTAATATTACACCAAAAACAATCATTTTTCTTTCCAAAAAATGCATGATTGTTACCTCTACATAATTATATAGGAGTTTTGACCCTTTTACTCCACAAAGTGATCAACTTTTACCTTTTCCTATAATATCCCTTACATGAATTAGCTGTCAGGTTGTGAGAGTACTCAAATTGTTATCTTGATCTAACACCAAATTCTCAGTACTATTTTATAAGGAAATGTGTGGCTGTTAGAGGTGTGAATTAAAAAATCAGTTCTTGGTAGTGAAAGGGTCTTAGGAATTAAATGGGTCTTGAACCCATCTTAGTTCCCTTCAGGATGGAACGTTTTTCTTTGAAGTATTTTTCCATTGACTTTTGTGATTATTGTCATAATTGTTTCTTTTTTCAGCGGGCAGCTGAGCCTGTTGAACTTTCAACATCTGTTTGTATGATGACATCAACTTCAGTTGCATCAGAAAACACTCTGGAAGAAATTAGGCAACAAAGAAGAGTAAGTTGGCAATCTGCATTAATTGGAATAGGGAAATTGTTACGGTAACTTCATTTTTCTTGTCTGTTGTGTTTCACCCTAATAGTTCTTGGAGCACCATGCTTGTTCATGTTACAAGAATCCTTCTTGAGGCACTTAAAGGCAATCCGGTCTTTCGACGGTGTATGGTTGTTTTACCCCATTTCAAGTTCGCCTTGCACCGCATTTGCGAGTTTGCCCCCTAATGTAAAACAAGTTCACCTTTCCCCAAATCTTTCGAATTGTTTCCTTACCACAGAACGTGTTCCTTTCTTGTTGAACAACGTGCAATTCTTCGTTAAAGAATCAGTCCCCGTCGATAGAAGTATGTCACGATTTCGGGCATAAGAAACGAGTTGAATGATTTTGAGCCAAACTGGTAAAGTAGGGGGGATGGGGGGGGGGACTTATGTTATTAGTACATATGCGTTATGAAGCAAGCGTGGGGTCAAGATGGCTCGATATTGGCCGAGTTCTTTTTTGGCATTTTTATGGACCTCGACTTTGCGAAAAGAATTCGCGTTATTTAAGAATTATAAGAATGACGTGTTTACTTCGAGAGCCGGGAAAGAAAGCCAACTGTGTTTGTAGGACAACAAACTCTCGGGAGTCGTTTATGTTTTCCTTGTTTTCACTACCTTCTGCCACTTTTTGCGTTTCCGTCGCCGACATTGTTCAAGAAGTACGAACTTAGTTCTAGTTCTATTTTTATCATGCGCGGGATCAATGCGTGCAATCCCAAGTGGGCAAGATGGGTCCATCTTGCCCGCTCGGGTAGCCAACCAGAACGCAGGATTCGCTTCATTTTGCCCACGGGCGCTGTGAGCGATGTAATAATTACAGGTATTGAAGATTTTGCCATCCGAATGGTTTTAATTTTTAGATATCGAGGTCTCAAAGTCAGTCTACTTCCACGCCTCATCACCACTCACGTCACTCGAACAGACATCACAGACCAAGGGGACACTCGAGCCGGAGAGGGGTGGAGAGAGAATCAAGAATTGCCCGATACGATGAACGACCCCCTCCCCCTGCGTACCAGACAATTAAGTTCCCTTATCTACCGGCTTACCAAGAGGTGGACGAATCACTTCCACCCCCACCATATACAGAGAAAAAAGAAGACACTTAAAGCTATTTGACCTCACTTAATTTGTCACGGAGTCGTTTAGAAGTGGAATGATAACTCAGACACTCACGGTTTTGTGAAGTTTCAGAAAGCTGTTACTTTCGTGGAGTAGAAACGAGAAAACGCGTTCAGACAACATGAGGGAGAGATTTCGCCTATGCAGGAGGAACATGGAAAGATGGGGCTCTTTATTCAGTACTCTGGAATGATTACAGCACAGACAGAAAACGAGAGAATGGTGTTTCCTCTCTAAAGTGCCTGTTCACGGTACGTCAGTTCGTCCTGAACGCCCGAGGAACTCTTCTCTTTAACTTCGTAGATCGAGGTGTCTTGCTGGAAAAGTCACGATCATGTGACCTGCATATTCTGGCCTCTCGGAGTCGTGTTGTGCACAATTTCTCCTGCGGTACTCTTGCAAGTGTAAAGTTTATCACTGCTATTTGTTGAATCTTTGTTTAACCTAGCCCACTGACGAGTCTTTCAAGCAAAGAGAACCAAATTTTTGAGGATGTGGTGGTTTTTTAGTATGCGGAAGCTCAGAAAACTGCATGTTTACGTCTCAACCAAAGTAAAATTTTGAATCGCTCGACATAAAAAAAAATAGGAAATCAAATACCCTCCTCGGATCTGCATGAAGTTTTCTGCTGAGTTTCAGTCAATACTAACTTCTTACTAACTGAGCGTGAGGGCCGTAAAGGGAAATATTGGCCCGAGGCTGTTGCAGTATGGACTGAGCATGTCCAATATTCCCCCAGTATGGCTCGAGCAAGCGAGGTCAGTAAGTAGGTTATTATATGGCATTCGAATCAAGCTTGTTTATTTTGAATTTTCTGGCTTTCGTGAACAAAAATACACGGCTCATGACTATTTCCGAGAAAAATCCTGACCAATTAAGAACCGGAACGGTCAGATTTACCTCAGGGCTAACTTGCCATTTAATATTTCTGTCTACTGGGCTGAGCCAAAATTTTGTGAGAGTCGACAACGTTGCGGTTTTATGGGATAACCAAGCTCGTACATTTCGTCAACTGGAAAACCAACATGGCTTTTGGAATCGATCGACATTTCTAAACAAGCATCTGATACTCTCGACAAGTTTGAAAGAACCTTGAAATTGAAATTCAGTGACTACAAGCCTCTTAGTCCAGTTAGGACCGTGCCCGGATGTTGTGCATATCCCATCAGTCCCTGCCATCAGTGTTAGTCAGTTAAATGTCATCTCAAATGCACTGTACCTGCTAACTTAGATCAAAGCCGCTTGAACTGATCGCCGATGACATACATTCGGAGTAAATTACAAGTAGGAAATTTCAAAGAACTCTAAAAACGTTTAATTCTATGGAATCACAAGATTCCATAGAATTAAATAGAATTAAATCTTGTGATTCCATAGAATCACAAGATTCCATAGAATCGTCATTTCCAACGCATGTATCAACGTAGAATGAACTGCGTTATTTGTAAATAACTTTTAAGTGAAATGCCGTGAAGAATTTAGTTGCCTTCTCCAAATATGGATACAAATGTTTTCAAATGCATTTTCCAGAGTTCCTAGGTATTCCTAAAACCTGTATATAATCGAATCACAACTACAGAAATCTTCCCTTTCACGTTGTATTGAGTGTTTGTTCTTAATAATTTCTATTTTCGTACACATTCGGACGTGGATTTGTGATACTGTTACCTCTAATCATTAGAACAAAAACTGATGACCGTCAAAGCTACCTCCCCGCGTCCCCACTGAGATCCTGATATAAGCTACATGTAAATGATCAAGCTATAGATATTGTGCGAAAAACTCACATAGTAAGGAAGTTCCATAGCACGCAAATTTTACTTGAAAGATAATTCTTAGTTTAATGTGAGTGGTTCCTCTTAAAGTGACTGTTGAGTACAGGTGGAAACAATACAAACAGTCCGTTGGAACTCAGTAAAGGGTCACCACGACCGTCGAATAGAGATGATAAAGGAAAAAGTACAGTAATTTAGGGGTAACAATTTCGAGACCTTGACAACTGACCGCTTAATGCAGGGTGACCGCCCAATACAGGTTCGACTGTACGTAGTTGTATGCCTCAACGTATTTGTGAATCAATGCGATGCAAGTTCCATGAAACCGCAAATCGAGCGTTGGCATTTCTATGAAGTGTGTCAAGCTAGTAGTTAACCATTATGATATGAATTGGTGGCATAACCTAATGAAATCTTAGAGCCTTTGAAATTGCTAATCCTTACATCATACTTGAAGAAAAAAAATGGGACGGTCGCTCATTGTTATGGTCATTGTTGTAATTATTTATTACCATCATTATTACCTGAGGTTAGCCGCCATAATAATATTAATAATGATAATAATTATAGGTTATTTCACGGTTGTTGAGCGCGTACGATTTTTATTCGCAAATTGTGTAAAACAAACGAACGAGCGCAGCGAGTGAGTTGTTTTACACAACGAGTGAATAAAAATCGTACAAACGAACTAACCGTAAAATAACTTATTTATTATATACATACCGAGATTCATAAGCGAACAGAACTCAGAGATAAACACATTTTTATTTTCTTTCAAAGGAAAGCAACGCGCGGTCAAGCCGCCGTTCGGGAGTTGCACTGAAGTGGCTTCCATGTAAAATACTTCTTTACATCTAAATTGTCTAGCGAAAATGCCGTTAAAAGGCAGAACTAGGTAGAATAAATTAAGACATCCTAAAAATATGTCGAAATAGTTCTATGGAAGTTCAAAATTTGAAATAAAGAAGTGAAAACCCGAGACTTAATTTTTTTTGTTTTTGTTTCGCCTTTCAAAACAAGAAATTCGTGGAACAGAGCGACATCGTGTTTGGTCTTTTTCTTGGTGTTTTCCTTTTCCTGTCCGTCTGTGAACTCTTCTACTGATGAATCTAGGCTCTGAAAACGGTTAGTCTGATTTGAAGCCATCTTTCTAAAGAAAACTGCGCCAAAGCTCTTAGAAGTGCTATTTGTCAGTCAAGTGGAGCGGCGAGCGAGCGACACGCGTTTGTTCAGTGGTGAAAATAATGATATAGCCAATCAGAGCGTCGATACGTCGTTTTTCACTAGTGAAAAAAAATCGTATGACCAATCAGCTGGCTCCTCTAGCGCGAAGAGACTATTTTTATCTCGATGCTTTTTGGCGCGTAAATCTCGGTATGTATGTACGGTGGCCCAGAAGGCTGAACGCAAACAAAAAATATACTGCAGCGAATAAAAAGTATACTGCAGCAAATAAAAAATATACTTTAGGAAATAAAAAATATACTGCAGCAAATAAAAAATATACTGGAGCAAATAAAAATATACTGCAGCAAATAAAAATATACTGCAGCAAATAAAAAAATCATAACGCAAAGAAAAAAAGTACCGCAGCAAATAATAAAAATGCAACGCAAACAAAAACTAGAAAACGCGAACAAAAAAAGTTGGAACGCAACGCCAAGGAAGACTGGGTAATAGTTCTTAGTTTCCCGCCAAAACGGCATGAACTGGAACTCGCTTTTGGTTATGGACGAAAGCGATCAGCGTAGGATTATAGAAAATTACTTTCATCAAGGGTATGAAAATAGAGTTATCATCGATTTTTTAAAGGAGCAGCATGGTACCAGTACTGTCATGAGTTCGCTATAGAACATGGTTTCGCAAAGGCGAACAAGCAAAGGATGAAACGAGTGTTGGCGGGAAACTAAAAGCTATTACCCAGTCTTCCTTGGCGTTGCGTTCCAATTTTTTTTGTTTGCGTTTTCTTTTTTTTTCTGTTTGCGTTGCATATTTGATTTGCTGCAGTATTTTGGTTTGAGATGCATTTTTTTATTTGCTGCGTACTTTTTTTTCTTTGCGTTTTGATTTTTTTATTTGATGCAGTATATTTTTTGTTTGCGTTGAGCCTTCTGGGCTCAATATAGTATAATAACAGTCTTTATACAGTAGGTGGCCTCACCCACACGTGGTTTATAGGCGAGTCTTGTTTTTAAAAACTAAGTGAAATCTAAAACCTTAAAATTAATAATAACAATTACTCTAAACTTAATGAAATAGAACTAAAAACTGCAAATTAATTCTCTTAAACTGCACTAAACTGCAAAGTCTCTCAAATTACAGTAAAAATTGTGAGGTAGCGTTTTTAAAACCGCTAAAAGTTTCCCTGTTTCTGGCTTCATTCCATTCCCTAATCAAAGGCTCCTTAGAGCAATCTCTTGGTCTGGTTTTCTTAACTTTGGACACAAGGTCGCATTTCTTCACTAGGGAGAGCGAGCCGAACGAACTTTGAAAGCCCCAAACGAGCGATTTTGAGGCTTTCTGGCTGAAAAAAACACTTCCAAACAAGTAATTAACTATTAATCTTTAGTCGGAGCTGATTTTTTCTGAAGACTGACTACTAGGGACAGATTCTAGAGGCAATATATTTGAACTACATTCGTAACGGCTATGTAAATGCCACAGGACTCCATTAGCATAGAAACCCGAAACCACATTTAAGATGGTAAGCCTGTGCTTTGGAAAGACTTTTTGATCGTGGGCAACACGTGCTGGCGTACAATTATTGTGATTGTAAGCGTTTTGATGGAGAAAAATTGTCTTAATTTGCGAATATGTGAAGAATTAGTTAAGATACCGGCAGCCACAAGATGAAATCAACGAAGTTTCACGCTTACCAATTTGCAATAAGCTAAAGCTCACTTCATATTCGCGGGGTTTGGGTCTTCACGCACGAATCGATCGTTCATGTTATCGTCACTTTTAGGACTTAGGCGCCAATTTCTCTCCTGTCGAGTATTCTGTAACATATTTTCTTTCCATTTTTGGCTGCACAAAGGTATGTTTTGATCAAGTTTGGAATAAAAAAACCATCACGCTTCAAGGGACGGGACGCCATTTTGAATCTGTCCAAGTAGTTCGGCATATTCTGGCCTTCACGGTACCAACCCCCAAATATACGTACACCGTGACTTTGAACAAGGAGACTTGTCGGGGAGGGGGAGAAAAAGTGACAAGGTTTAATGCATAAATTAATGTCTAACAAAGTGAGTGAGTGATTTTTAATCAAATTTCGCCCCCAAACCCTATACCTCATAGCATGACTTACGTCATACCATCAGGTAAAAACAAATAAGAAGAGCGTAACTATCCTTTACTGCTACGAGAATTATCAATGCTCAGGTGGCTGGCATGACGAGTTTCATAACTGTGAATTTAGGAGCAACTGTTAGAAAAATAATAATGGTCTAAAAATTCTTTTAAGGCATTTCAAAACATAAACGAGCCAGTGAATACGCCATTTAACACCAAGATTGTTCCATTGATAAGATTGATAAGCGTCTGAGCTGATGAAGACTGTACAAACCGATCGAGGATCGAGAGCAATTTTTGGCCGCTTCGTTCTGCAGTACCTGGAGGGAGTCCATTAAAACATTCCTGTCGCCCCAGAAAATATCGGCTGAAAATTATACACCTATTTCCTTGCTATGCACTCTAAGCAAAGTCTTAATTGGAACGCTGTGTCTGTATTAAACTCTACGATCATGCTAAACAACCCATCAGTCCTCTCCAGCTCATGGCTTTTTGCGAAATCGCTCCTGCGTCACAAAGCTGTTATCTGTTCTTAACACTATTAACACTAATTAACTTGGACAAAAATATTCAAACAGATGTTATCTACCTGAACTTTGCTAAAACCTTCAATTTCGTCGATTGCTTCAAAAGCTCAAACGATATGGTGTGGAAGGCGGCACGCTCGCCTGGTTTTCAGATTACCAAAGTGGAAGATCTCAAAGGGTCATTTTGGATGATGTTGCTTCGCAATGGGCCCCAGTTACATCGGGAGTTGTTCAGGGCGGCCTACTCGACCCAGCTCTATTTGTCCTTTTTATTAATGACCTGCCCTTGAAGTGTCCTACCGGAAGGTACTCAATCTGCACCCTACGCGTAAGACACCAAAGTGTACAGCTCTATCGCGTCTACAGCAGATTGAGAACGACTACAACAAGCTCTGACAAACCTCCATTCCTGGAGTTACGATTATGACATACGATTCAATGCCTCTAAATGTAAAGTTCTAACTATAGCGTGCAAGACTCTTCTCTAGGCCCTGAAAAGTTACGGCGCGCGTGCGAGGAGAAGGATCTGGGTGTAGTTATCTCGGACAAACTTAACTGGGACTTAAATACACACCTGATTACAGCAAAAGCAAACAAACGTTTAGGTCTGCTGAAGAGATCATGTCCCTTGTTAACTAAAGTGGTAGTAAGAAGGTCCTTGTACTTAGCGATTGTAAAGCCTCACCTTTGTTCCGCTACTGAAGCCTGGTCTCCTGCTCAGAAGGCACTAAAAGTTAAGGTTGAGCAAGTTCACAGACGTGCCACCAGATGGATTTTAAGTTTGAAGCCAGGCCAAATGTCGTAGGGGGAGAGACTGTTCGCCTTGCCTCTTGCTTACGATAGAGAAATCAAGGATCTCGTTTTCTTTTACAAAGCTGTTTACGGCTACATTGATATCAGATTGACGTCTCTAACTACGTATCTTTTAACAATCATCCCCGTACACGCCGTGGTCAATCTGCTGGCTGTTATCTCACTTTTCCGGCCTGTAAGACCAGCACTTTGCAAGCCTCATATTTTTTCCGAATTGTAAAACTGTGGAACAACTTATGCAATGAAGCCTTCTGTAGTGGTTATACCTCTCTTAACTGTTTTCAATCATTTTTGAAGAACTTGTACAAGTCTCTTTTTTAATGCATTCTTTGATGAGGACATGGTCTACTCATGGTCAATTTCTCGTGAATGTTCATGTCACTAACTGAATATATATATATACATATGTTTATATTTTATTCTTCTGTCCTTTAGATTTCTCTACTTTTAGATGACAGTTTGGTACAATCAGATTCTCCTACAATTAGATTTTCCTCTAACTAAACTAGAATTTATTCATTTTTTTTTACTTGTACACCTTTAAAATTCTTAATATAGTTTCCTAGGGTAGGCACTCCGCATGGGTCTGAGTGTCCCGTTCGTGCCCATCGCTTTTGGGCTTTAATTTTTTTTTTTTTTTTTTATGTTTGTATACTTTCATTTTGATCTTGCCCAATAAAGCTTGACATACCATACCATACCATGCCATACCATACCATACCATACCACCATGGTATTTACAAATAAATTACGAGCGTAAATGGGAAGTAAATGCTTCATCCTACACAAAATGCCAAGTCTCTTGTTTAACCTTCTTTGTCACAAAATCAATATAAAAAAAATATGATTAGCCCAAGATAGTTTGTTATTAGTTACAATACATAAATACTTAAACCTTGATTCTCTTTCTACAGTACACGTTAATGGTAAGACTAAAGTGATGTACCCTTCAGTTTCCTCGAGTCAGCGATAAGGATAAACTTAGACTTGGAAACATTAAGAGTAAGTTTGGTTTCCTCGACCTCCATAGTTCCTCAAATGAACATTGTTACTTATTCTAAACATTCTCAATGTCGGACCTCTCAGTATCACTAAGATAATCATCACCTGAATGTGGTTCTTTGCTCCGCCATTCCTGATCTTGTTGCTTTAGTAACTCGGACAAGTGATTCATCCGCTTTTCAGCCGAAATGAGTTCCAGTTCGAACCTATGTCTGTGGATAAGCTCTCTTGCTTCATGAGCTTTCTCCAAAGCCATAGCAACATTCTCCTCATAGAGGTGCTGATCAGACCTGAAAAGCAGATGTTTAATTTTTGTCCCAAGTGTCATGTTGTCTGCTGCTCCTCCGAACTCAATGAAGTCTAGGTGTAGTTTTGCCGTTACAACATCCTCTTTGCAGAGGGAGGTGCCGCTGTCCACTGCTTTCGAACAGGACTTTAAAAGCATAGCAGCCATTTTAACATGTACATACTCCTTAAATCCTTCATTGGATGTATAGTGACAAGCCATATCATAGGATTTGTAGACTTCTTCCTTGGTAGCTTGGGTATCCTGTGTAAGGTTCGTAGTTGGCAATGAGTTGAGCAAGGCTCCATAACTGTGACACAGTTCGGCTTTATCGTCACAGCAGTCGTGATATTCAAGAGCCCTGTTGGCCTTCAGAACGCACTTCATCGCATTCCCATATTTTCCCTGATGTTTGTAGATGGCCGTTAGAAGAGTTAAGGCTCGCCCAGTCAGAATACCGGGGTTTTCCAGACGTTGCTCCTCCTTAAGGATCATTTTCAATATGTTCTTAGCATCTTTAACCTTGTTTTGAAAATAAAGCGCCATGGCGCGCTCAATTTTGAGGCTTGCTTCCTTGTCAACGTCCCCGGCCAACATCTTCAGCAACTGAAGTTGTATCAACTTCTCATGTCTTTCAAATTCTCCTCTGTCTTGCAGACCTTTCAGTTGTACTCTGAGTAAAACATACTCTGTAGAATTCAGGTAGCCTCGTTTTGAAATAATTGGCATAGGAGAATCAATGGCCGGCGAACTTCTCCCTCTGTGTCCATCAATCGCCGAGTCAGCTTGCATACCGTAGTAATTTTCTTTATCGCACTCAGTCGTCGTATCACAACAATGATTCTTGGCACACCATTTACACTTCTGTACTTGTAATAGTTCGCTGTTAGAACCAGTCTGCACAGTAGCAAAGCCTATAATCTCGACACGTAGAACATTCTTGGTTTTTTCCAACGTCTCAGTGTCCTTCAAATTTGCATCCATTTAGAAGTGGACGCGGTTCACAGTTCTTGCCTAGTATTTTCTCAAGACTGCTGATGTGTTTTGAACTATTCAGGCTCATTCGGGAATGACCAGTGACCGGCCGAAAGGAAAATGAAACTAAAAAATGGAAAATAACTAAAAATAAATTTAAGTAAAAGGAGCCTGTTTGTTTGTTCAATCCGGGCCGTAGATACTAAAAGTTGGAATCACCTGAAACCATCTGAAACCACCTGAAACCGTCTGAAACCATCTGAAACCACCGATGAAACCACCGATGAAACCACCTGAAATTTACTTAGGCAGTGGAAGTTAACGTCACCATTCATCAGCTATATTCTGTCATTTGAAGTAAAATACCGGCAAAAAATCCACATATATTTCACTTTCGCAAAAACAAAGTCAGTGAAATTTTAGGTCACGCTATAAATTCGTCTCTGATTAAAAAGAAACACAATGTTCAAAATTTCCTTAGGAAGTTTGAAAATCCTCAGGCCTTCCTGGGCTTTTTCATATATAATTTGCATGATCCCGTTGAAAAAACTTCACGTATTTCTTTCGATTTAAAACAGTTTCTTCTTTGCATTCGCGATCGCATGTTGTTATTGTCACGCAAGTCCTTTGTCAAGAAATGAATTCGCATATTCCCGTGCAACTCCCAGCCCGTACAGCTAATTGAGAGTGTTTTCAACAAGAACAATGGAATGTTTCCTTAAAGACCTGTTTGTGGTGCCTATTCTGTACTGTAGGGTATTATATACGATATCCGTAAGCCGGGCTCCCTGTGGATAAACTCGATTGTTAACACTTATTTTCTGATGTTACCCGTAATTTTTTAGGTGCTTTCATTTTGTTTTAAATTGTTTCGAGATATTTTTAGGTAATTTCAGATGGTTTCCTTAGAAGCTTCAGATGGTTTCAGGTGGTTTCATCGGTGGTTTCATCGGTGGTTTCAGATGGTTTCAGATGGTTTCAGGTGGTTTCAGATGGTTTCAGGTGGTTTCAGGTGATTCCAACTTTTAGTACCAACGCAATCCGGGCCCAATTTTCATAGAATCGCATTTTATAGGAAAATTCATTCCCTGACGAGGGAATTCCTCAAACCAGTAAATTGCACCGAAAACCGATATCGCAACGTGCGATATCGGTTTTCAAATGCAATGTAATGAGGAATTCCCTCGTCAGGGAATGAATTTTCCTATAAAATTCAGCTTAGATCAGACTCGACCACACCAAGCAACTTTTGAGATACATCAGGGACAGAGTTGGAAATCTTTGTTAAGAACACGATCATACTATCGAGCGTTTAGGAGAAGACGGAAGTTGCGATATGAACTTCCAACAATTGTTGTCATAAACCTAACATAATATTGGCAGATAACAAACATCAAACTGAAAGAACGCATGAAACACCTTTTCACAGTCTTGCGTATCGATGTGAGTGAAGTGAGTGAAAACCTTTATTTAACTTCGAATTACAGATAGCAAACAACTATGCTAATATCTTCGAAGATATAAAAAATAAAAATTAATTAGACCAAACAATTATGA